AGTGGATCTCTGCTTTGGTGGCTAGGCAAGGTGCATGTCGTTGCAGTGGGAGGGCTCTAGCCGAGATGCCCAAAAAAGCTTCAATAGCAGTCTTGCACGACTTGTTGGGCCAGCTGCCTTCCAGCACTGCGCCAGGTGCATCCGGGATGATACTTGCCACCTTATCCAGGCGGGTGACGTGTGGGGACTTCTGCAAGGTTGAGGTGAGGGTCTCTACATGGGCACTCAGAGGGTCTTTGCATTTACTTTCTTCGCAATGCCTGGAAACTATTCTTAACTGCCATCAAGTAAATTCCCCATTTACCCTGGGGGGTCCCTGCAGACCTTCCGCGTAATCGAACAGAGCCGCGAACGATGATCCCAACCCTGCGGCGCAGAATCCCTGCTTCCGAAAGTATCCCCACGTCAGCTTTGTACAACCGTGACTGGGCCCCTGAAGTAGCTGTTGGATGGTTCCTCTCCTAAAAGCTCGCCTTCTTTGTGCAGGTCTCCGCCGTTCTTGCGCTGGTCCGGCGCTCGATGCCAGTCTTTTCGGCGAGTGCGGAGTGTGTGTATAGAGGTCTATAGTTGTGTATTGGGGTTGCAAAGGAACATCTCAAAATCCTGCTACGCATTTCTACAGACGGAGCTTTCGAAAGGCAATTTGCTGTTCTGTAGCAATCTGCAGCTCAGCTGCCCTTCCGATAGCGTTGCTGTCTTTGTATGGCAAGCAGGCAAGCACTGTGATTGGCGTTGGTTTTCTCGTCGACTGGAGTTTCGTGCATAACCTCTATGATATAGTTCTGAAACGGAATGCCTGCTGGTCAGGCTCTTCAGCTACGTGCCAGAGATGTTCCAGTCGCCCGAGCTTTTGGAGACCTGACTTTTTCAGCGCAAAAAGGGAGCCATGGAGTGCTGTTCCTCAGGCGTCCTTGCATTTCAGCATAGCAGCCCTATTTCACAAACAGCCCCTATTCAGCTTGGCGTGAGGTGTTTCTGAATGTTTTGATCTCTGGGCCCGAGCTTGAAGTTTTGGAGTGCTGAAGACAGCGGCATCATAGA